CAATTAAAAACAACTCCCACTCATTACATTAGCTTAAACGACCCAGGCTAACTAGGCGCTTCTTGAAAAATAAATATTAATTTCTTATTTCGATATTATTTACCCGATTGTCGTGTCTGTTGGGTATAAAGAAATGCCTACAGGAAGGCGATCGCGAAGTCGTGAAGCCAAGCATGCCCTTGGACGAAATGAGTTTTCGCTCAACCTGAGAGCGGTTTTCTCTGTTTTGGCATCATATTCTCCACCGAACTAGACCTTGCCAAGTCAACTGAAGCGAACAGGGAGCCTGAAAAGGGACAGTTGACAGTGTTCTTCTGTAGACGGCCAGATTGGCGGTGAAGCCAAGGCGACAGTACTGCTGCCAGATTCTTGTGTCCTTTAATCCTATCGTATTTTGAGAATTTCATTGGCTGCTCGAGATGGAATTAATTTCGGTGACCTCACTCTTTCGATGGTCGTCAAGCTGATGCGACTCAAAGGGGGACATTTCGGCGTTGCAGCCCAGCATTGGTTGTCTGTGGACGACAATTCCGTTTGTAGATGCCGATCAGACTGACCTCGGGCCGAAACCCCCCATTCGCGTCTGCCGTTGACCTCAGAGAATGGCGGTCGGTGACATTTTGGGCTTTTTACGCGCCAGGAGGCGGAATGTGGCCGGAGCACTTTGGTGTTGACAAAGAACACGCACTCTTCGCATACCCAAATCTCGTTTGACCCCGAAGCGTAGTGCGAGAAAAGATGAAAACCAACTGACTGACTGAATAGTTCCACTAATCTCTGCGACTGTGTTTGGCTTCAAAGCAAATCTGTCGCTGGCGGCTTGTGTTGGCGTCCAATTCTTGCTTGTCTTGTGGCGTAGGAAGGCTCAGGTTGTGTGGTCGAGGCGGAAATCTGTCGGCCACCGGATAGACTCGCTTGGGTCACAGGGAAGATGTGAATTACGAGCAAGGCCAGGCCTTTCCCCATATCACATTCGACTACCAGTCCTTCATTATCTTAAGCGAAATAGGATGAATGCATCTCATACTACTGATTTACTTATAGTCTAGAAAGTCTACTTAAATGCGAAAAATAATATACTAAACTGTTTCCTCTTATTCACAGTGTTTTTTGTCTTGTCAATATCAATCGACTGCCTGATTTTCCGCCTCGTTATAAATTCCTCGTTTATCGCAAAATGTTTGATTTAGACCGCTCCATTTGGTGTCCTGTAGGGAGCATAAATTCAACCACTTTTGTAGGTGGTTTCGTGTTCCGATCACCTTTTCTGTATGGGCCAACAAGTCTTCCGCTTCTAGGCGCTTTAACATGAGCACAAAACCTTATAACGACCCGATCTGCCGAGGGCATCTGAAGGTTGTCTATAAGAAGGCGGTATTGAGGAAAGCGTTAATGCTTCAAAAAGCATGGTCCTGTAGGAAGATATCATCAAGAATCTAAATAGAGAGTTGTTTAATTCCATATTTTGTACTTAATAATAGTTTCCTCTTAACACATTTAAGATAATTTTGAAATTATTAACAATTAATCCCAACGAATAATTGTTATCAACTAGTATTTTTGTTAGCATTTTCAACGCTTGATTCTGCCTATTTGCATGCACTAGACGTAAACTTCATATTTACATTGTTTCCATAACTCCAACCTTGAATTCATAAGTATGTATGAAGAAAAGTTGGATTTCGAGGAATCTCTTGTTTCATAATTGTTGAGCTTACTTCCATTTCGAGTGAAA